GCAGCGGGCAGCACAGGGCAACGGACCAGCATCGCAGGGCCCGCGGGGCAGTCGGCAGCGTGGACGGGGGCAGCGGGCAAGGGCGGGAATCCAAAATTTTTTTTTAAAACAAACGGGTTTTCGAGCCGCATCAACCCGAACCCGACCCGATTTTTCAAACGTGTCGAATCTGCGAACCCGAATCCAACCCGTTTTTCAAACGGTCGGGTCCAACCCGAATTTTTCGAGTCGGTTTCGGGTCGGGTTTTCGTGTCGTGTCAAATATTGACACCCCTAAATATCATTAAGCCTTCGTTTGGAACAACTTTCTAGCTGCTTCTTAAAACAATTTTTAATACAAAAATTTTAATTTTTGTACTAAAAAATTATTTTAAGAAGCATTAAAAGAGCAGTACCAAACGAATCCTGAAATTTTTTTCTCTACTATGTTCTATTAAGAAAATAATAGTAATAATGTACTGATGATTATGACTGTAATCAAAGAAGTGCACTCGATGAACAACTCTAAACCATTTCATATAATGCTCGATTATTTTTTTTATGGGATTTTTACATACATAACACTTAAAACTATTAAAAATACCTATTCAACACCTAAAATCAAATATTTACTTATATACCACCGCTTTCTCATTCTAAACATTCGCTATAGCACTCCGTTAGCGACCGTCAAACCCCTCTCCCCGAACCCAGTCGATTTTCCCGCGTGAATAGCTTTGGCCAAGCTTCGTCGCTTCTTCTAATCTCGAACAGGTATGAATCCCGGCTCTCCTTCGTTGCCTCTTCTTCGCTTGATCACCGTTCATCGCGTGCCCTAGGTAAAAAATGCGGGCTGGTCGCCTGCTCTTATAGGACTCCTGGCAAACTGAAGCCAATGCTGGCAAACCGAAGCATTGGCGACGAAGCTTGGCCGAAGTAACTCTTACGGATTCTTTTACACATGCAATGCTTAGCAACAAATGAAAATTTTTTTATTCATGCTTACCGAATTTTATTCATGCTTACCGATTTTACACATGCAATGTTTAACTTATTTATTATTTCTTTGCTCAGAAATGAGTTCGATTAATTTTTGCTACATAGTCCTAAAATTCGGTGGATATTGGAGTGAGGTGCAAGGTCAAACGCGAATGAAGTATATAGGTGGAAGTTAGAAAACCATAAA